CGGGTTCGGTTTTGGTGATTTTCGGTTTTGGGTTTTCGGGTTTTTTCGGGTTTCGGTTTGGGTAACCGAACCCGACCAGAACCGACACCCCTACCCGTAGCTCCTCAATTAGGTCCAAGTTGCAATTACCTTTGGTTGACCTACTGTTGATTAAACTGAGGAAGATCCTAAATTAGCTTGGAATCTCTTAAACTGACCAAGCCCTCTGAATACCCGACAGGCGACTAGCCTTCACCAGGATAGACTGCTAAGGCGATTCACACAGATCTCCACTACTAGAATGAATTCCAGTACAAAGCAGTGAATTGATTGACTCTCGCACAACCAATTCACCACTATCAATCAAGGAAGCTCTCTTAACCTAATCAGATTCTATCTATCATAGGTTAAAGCAGAAATCAAGAGAAGATGATCAGGCTTCAATTGACTCAATAAATCATGCCTCAATCGATTATAATCAAACAATATAGCATCCAAAACTTCATAAAAGAAAGATCTTAACACATGGAACTAGGGTTTCTCAAAACCTAAGTGAAGGGAAGTTACTCCATAGAGAAGAGAGAGACTGCAGAAATATGATCTAGATCTTCAATCTCCATCTCCAAGCTTGATTCCAGAGCTCCAATGGCGAAGAAATCCTCCAAAATAGCTCCAAGAATGTTCCCAAGTCGCTCTCTCTCTCTAGGGTTCGTTCCTTGGGCTGACCAAGCCCTCTCAGTCAAACTAACCGGCAGATGACTAGTCTTCACCGGGATAGAAAGCCGAGGCTATGAACACAGAACTCCACTACTGGAACTGAATTCCATTACAAAGTATTAAATCGACTAACTCTCATATAATCGATCCATTACTACCGCTTCCACACTTTCACCGCTTCCCGCACGGGAGACGTTATTTTAAAAGCACATTTTGAGCACCTTTTTTTTTCAAAACATGATACAGGAGTCCATGAAAGGTAGAGAGTCCACAATACCACACAATTCAAGGGTCCTAAGATCACTAATTCACACAATCAACCAACACAATATGAAGAAGAAAGGAGACTTCTTAAATGCATCAACATCCTCCATAGTGCTACACTACCTCCATAGGTTGCATATTACTATAAAGACTGTCAATTCAAAGCATATTGAGCAGGCAATTGCAACGAACACATGCTTGGAGCCCTAAAATCAAAATTTGGACAATGGACTAGGCTCCAAGCACACACATACAACCAAACATTCACACGCATACATAATCGAACATCCCCCCACACTTAAGCACGACATTGTCCTCAATGGAGGAAAGATAAGGAGGGTAGAACGAAGTTACCAGATCAAGGGTGAATGATGGTGGACGGGGCAGGCAGTGCATTCTAGGAGGAGAGCGTAGTCGGAACATAAACACCCCACAAATCTCACAAAGGTTGAGTTATTGACTCTAAAATCAAAGAACAAAACTAATTCAACCGAGGATAAATAGGGAAAGAAATGCAAACCGACTAGTTGGGTTGCCTCCCAACAAGCGCTTCTTTCACGTCGTGAGCCGAACGATAACTCTTAACTTTCGGTCCATGCTAGAACCTCTTTGAAGTTGAGGTTCTCATCTATGTGGTGGAGTCTCAAGTCACGAGCAGGTGGTGTGGCAGGTGATGAAGGCTCATTCACTTGATGCAAGTGAAGTCTCCACCCTCGAGACCTCTTCTTCCTTTCTTCTCTTGTCTCATTGCCCCAAACCAAATATAACCGTATCGACTGACCACCATCGCGTCCACCAAGAGGAACCGATGTCGATGTGGCCTTGGTCTGGCAAAGAGACACTGCAAATGGGTCCTTGCTAAGTACTTCCTCGAAGTTTGGTGGGGATATTACTTGTATTATAGGGCCGGTGCAAGCCTCTTCCACCTCAACTTCATCCTCAGCCTTGACACCACTCGCTTCTTCAACCCCTCTTCCTTCCTTCTTCAAAATGTGGTCTCTCTCCTTAGAAAAGATCAAGAACTACCTCTTCTTTGCTTTCTTCCTCATCCTCCACAACTTCTTTCCTCACCCTTTATCTCTCTTCTTCTTCCATAACGGATTGGAGAGCAAGTCGCCATGCAAGGTTCTCAATAAGTTCAGCTTGCATCTCCTCGCTCGGGCCCAGCATGTGAGAGCAAAAATGGGGAAAGTTGTGATCTACCACCAGAGGATACACTTGATCATGATTATCATGGGAGGTTTCTGTGACAACTTCTGTATGCTCCTCAACATCCTCAGATTGCCTTCTTCTTCCTCCTCCTCTACTTGTATGGCAGCATAAAGGTTGTCTTGAGAAAACCGTGAACAAGCTTTCTCAATGACCTATATGTGCTTCTTTATGCTCCGAAGGGTATCCTCTGTTTCACGGGGAAAGAAGAAGTCAGTTTAGGCAATGGCCTGGATATGAGGATCCAACTCGGGAAAGGTTCTCTCAGGTACTCGAGCAATTTGCTCCACGAGAAGCCTCAAGTGATAGTTTGGATATGGATGTGGAGTGTAGCATGGCTCTGCCGGATGGACCGTGAGGGCTGTGGCTAAATCAAGATCTGATGGCCCTTCTGGTTGTGGGAGGAATTCTTCTTGATAAGGAGGTTGTTCTTGATATGCCCAGGGGTCTGATTGTTCTCCGTAGTAAGGGGTTGGTACAGGAACCCGAATCCATAGTCTTCTCCTCCTTGATTGCTCCATGATGTCTCGGGGTAATACCACTCAGATGGTGGTGGATACCCCCACTGGTTGGGGAAGCCATTAGGATCCATGATTCAGATCTGCACCAACAAAAACAAAAACACCCAAGTGAAAAGCAAGGGTTAAAAAAAAAACGCTAAAGTAACAAACTTCTGCCTTTCCTAATAATCTAGAAAGTCCCCGGCAACAGCGCCAAAAACTTGACTCGCTACGAAACAACACCTAACAATGGCCAAGTGTAACCAATGAAAGGGACTGCAGTATAGTGGCACAAGTAATAAATATCGAATCCACGGGTCTCTAGAGTTACTATTACTCAGCTTCAGTTCATTATCTAGCAAACTAGATTAAGGATTGATTTACTAAACTACTCTACTAATTACAAGTTGGGAACTCACTTAGGTATGATTCCCCCTAGCTCCTCAATTAGGTCCAATTTGCAATTACCTTTGGTTGAGCTACTGTTGATTAAACTGAGGAAGATCCTAAATTAGCTTGGAATCTCTTAAGCTGGCCAAGTCCTCTTAGACAGAATACCCGACAGGCGACTAGCCTTCACCGGGATAGACTGCTAAGGCGATTCACACAGATCTCCACTACTGGAATGAATTCCAGTACAAAGCAGTGAATTGATTGACTCTCGCACAACCAATTCACCACTATCAATCAAGGAAGCTCTCTTAACCTAATTAGATTCTATCTATCATAGGTTAAAGCAGAAATCAAGAGAAGATGATCAGGCTTCAATTGACTCAATAAATCATGCCTCAATCGATTATAATCAAACAGTATAGCATCTAAAACTTCATACAAGAAAGATCTTAACAGATGGAACTAGGGTTTCTCCAAACCTAAGTGAAGGGAAGTTACTCCATAGAGAAGAGAGAGACTGCAGAAATCTGATCTAGATCTTCAATCTCCATCTCCAAGCTTGATTCCAGAGCTCGAATGGTGAAAAAATACTCCAAAATAGCTCCAAGAATGTTCCCAAGTCACTCTCTCTCTAGGGTTCGTTCCTTGGGTGTTTTTGGGATCCAAAACCCAGCTCTCTCCTTTCCTTTGGCTTGAATCTGCCTCAAAAACCCGATTTTGGGCAAAACACGGTCGAGGAAACGACCGTGTTTTACTTTTTCCCGCCCGTGTTTTGCCCCCAGCAGCCCTCACGACACGCCCTCGGCAGTAAAAACACTAGCGGGGGCCAGATAAAACACGGCCGTGTTTTTAGGGTAGTCTGCCTGTGTTTTTACTGCCGAACCTGTTCCCCTATATTCAATGTTTCGTTTCTCCCTCGCCCGGACTCCGAATTAGTCGCCGTTTGATCCCATATGCTTTTAGTCTCGTCCTCTTTCTTTTCATGACAAGCTTGTATGATTCTTTGTCCATAAATGAGGCATAAATCCATTCTTCTTCAGGTCATGCCCGAGTTTCTTCACCCGAATCGCCAATTGATCTCTGATTGACTTGAAACTTGCGCCTATGCTTCACTTTACATGCTAGGACCTGAATTGTGACAAAGGAACACAACCTAGCATAGAATAAGCTTAAACGATCAAGAAGTAGAGGGAAAAACATGTGCAAATATCTAGTCATCAGAATCTGAAACACACTGAAACACAAGAAACTTTGCGTAAAGCCACCCCTTTTGAAGCTCAATTGCAACAAAATTCAAAGAGAAATGGTGATAAAAAGTGTACAATTAGACTCGAATAAGTAGAAACGAAGCGTAAAAATGTAAATTTTTTATGCATCCTATAAAATAGTGAAAAATCAGTTTAAATTTGTTAAGTACGACATGTATCATGTAAAAACTTGTTAAATACTTGCCATTCAATGTTTAAACTGTAATTTCTTACGCATAACCTTTGTGCATATTCTGAAGTTAAGCTTGTCGACCATCAAGTAAAGTTGGTATATCTTCAAAGACGTGCTTTGTTATTAGAACATAATCAAAGACATGTTTCATCAACCTCAAAAGGAAGGTCTCAATGGGCTTCTAATTTGCATGATCATTGTGCTTCATCGTTAAATTAGGTTCGTTGGTAAGTTATTGGATACAAAATTGATAATCCAAATCCTCTTTCAAGTATCTAAACATAATAAACCATGGAACCTTCAACAAAGAAGCTTGAATGAGGAGTTGAGAGTTCCATACAGACTAAGACTTCCAGCTTACGAACTAAACTCTTTAATGTTCAAACAATTGAACATTTCAACCCTTTAGAACTAAACTGGATTTCCAGAAACCTCACTGATGAAAATATGTAAGGGCAAAAGAAAAACAGAATCTTAAGAAGATGAATCTTTTTTCTATTACTTAATTTCATCCACATCCACAACAAGAAAAAGGGCATATGGGTAAGTCAAAGCCAGCTCTTCGAAGAAAGGGCTCATCACCACCGACGGCATGCACCACACAACTGTAAAATTAACAATCATCTGCCCTTCCCGCAGAACAAATTCAGCACAAAGCTACGAGACTTACATCGAAACTTTTTCCAACAACGGTGAGCCTGGTTGAGGTAATAATCCCATGTCTATAAAGAATCGACCTTTTAACTTTAACGTTTGAGTACATAACATTTTTAGGTGGAAACTGAAACGTATTGGTGACCTAGATACGTAAAAACATACGATTTTACGCTTTAAAGCGCGATTTTGACAGCACTGATCGTGAAGTCATTTCCTTCTTCTCTTTTCGTTGAGTAAACTTCCCCTTTCAATTGGGTATGAGGAACTCTAACTGTGTTTTGATGAAATGATAATTATATGAGTACTTTATCTTGTTGACTTTGAATTCAAATTCAATTGATGCATTATTCATGAATAATCTTTGCATTGATAAGTATTGATGAAAGTGAATCTACCAATGACTTTACATTGTGTGATAATTTGGGTAACCAATTCACAGAGTGAGAGTCCAAAGCATTATATATATTTTTTTTAGAATAAGAGCGCCTTGTACTCGGAAATGTAGAAAAAAATCGAGAATAAGAGCGCCTCGAGAGCGCCTAGTATTATGTGAAGACAAAAATGTCAAAGGTAATTCTTTATATATGTCAGGTGTTGCTTCATTTTAAACCAATTCATATCTCTTATAATAACCGAAACATCCCTAAGCGTACTAGATATACAAGCAACCTTCTTAATGTGCTTGCTAATTGCTATACGAAAGTGTTGACCAATTTATGCAAGCAACGTGTTTGTAATGTCTTGTAATCTTCTTCGTATTATTGTTTTCTTTAGTTATCATGATTTTATTTTCATTTTTCTCTCTTTTGCTTTATAAGTAGTTCTTGTTTTTTTTCAAGCTTTGAATCGTGAATTCCAATGGCTTCTCAAACATGTGGGGTTGCTAACCAACACCTAATTGGTATTACCCTGAAACTTAATGGGCCAACCAAGACGGTGAAGGCCAAGGATTCAGGTTTCATGACAAATCTACATTGAACAACCATACCCTTTGGAGTTTCAAGAATGCCCCCATTTCAAGAATAATTTCATCCACAACCCGAGTTAGTATCACAGTTGGATTTAGCAATGGAAGCAGTCATGGAAAAAATGTGCAAGACCATGCTACATTCAACAATCGGATCTGAAGAACTAGTTGGAGGTTTCTATGAAGATGTTTGTTATGAATAGTGAAAGAGCATTCTCCAATGTGGCCTTCCAGCCCATCACCCCTCTCAACCCAAATCTTATGTGTGTAATGGTGGAGACTCTTAAGAGCGTAGAGAATCTAGAAGAGGTTGTTGAGCAATCTTGTGCATGACGTGCTCACAATTTTCTTTTAGCTATCGCACTTACACAAGAAAAGAAAGATGAATAGGCGAGCAATGCAAACATTATGGAGAAAATTGAACTTGTCACATAGAGCTCCCATGATGATAAAGAGCATGTCCCATTTTTGCAACCTACACCCTTCTCCATCGCAAGTCAAGCTTTAAAGAGATGGTCACGATTTTGGATGAGCAATTTAATTTTGTTAACAACACTGCGTAATGACTTGCTTTCCATATCGTACTTGAATATAAGGATGAGAGGGTGATAGAAGAAGTTGTGGAGGAAGAAGAGAGCAAAGAAGATTAAACTATTAATTTTCAACAAAGGGGAGAACCTATTTTTTCACAAAGCATGAAGGTGGACGAAACGATTGGTGTCCAAAAAAGGAAGAGGTCGTGGTTGTTGAGGTTTGTAAAAGCCAAGACTCATATAAAAGATCCCTACTTGACCTTGTGGAGCTTCTTGAGAAGAACTCTTTTGTGGTTTCTCTTTGCCAACCCAATGCCACTCCATCACTGGTTGACTCGCACGAAACTACACCACAAATTAATCCCGACTAGAGCCCAAGTTTTTAAACTCTAGCTAGGTGCAATATAGAGCAAGTATTTAAATTGTCAGCCCGGGCCGATCCATGTACCACTACTTCAATGGCTTAGGTTGTTATCTAGCAAAACGGTTTTGAGGTTTCAAACTAAGAAACTACAAGCTAAACAAGCAAAGAAAAGTAAATAAAGGAAAACTCTAACTAAGGGAGCTTCACCCAGGAGTTGCCTCCCCCTAACTAGCTACCAAGACTCGTTGGATTGGAACGATTGCTATGGGCAAGGTGACCGCGAACCACAGAGGGATGCAAATATGGTCGTAGACCACAATCTTGATTGCTAAACCGAGGTAAACATTATAGACCGTGCCACTCGGCCCTCTCGGTTTAGGAAATCGGTGGTGACTTACTCCCTCACCCAACTCAAGGGTTGGACGGCATGATCACGCTTAACCAATTTGCTTAATTCAACATTGGATTTTGCCCTAGAGTAACCTAGTTAGGTGACTTAAAAAGCTAAAGGAAAATCAACTCAATTGAGTCTCCCTTGAAAGGGGGATTTTCCTCTCTAAGTAAGTTAAAGTGGCTAATTAGATTGCTAGCACCAACATGCACAAACCTAAGGGTGCTAAGCACAATTATGCACAACCCTTAGATTGCTAAGCACAAGCATGCACAATCACCATGAAAACACCTTTAATACTCAAATTGATGCAAACCCACACTTAATCATTCAATCTAAACAATTAATTACAAAGTATTAGTTAGGGATCTACAACACCCAAGAGAAAAGAGTGAGTTTATAGAGAGAGAGAGAGAGAGAGGGATTACAAATTTGAGCTCAAGATCTTCTTCTTCTTCTTCTTCTAGGCTTGAATCTCCACCCAAGCCTCCAATGATGCTCCAAGATCCCTCTAGCACACTCTCTCTCTCTCTCTCTCACTAGAACTTCCCTTTGGTGTTTTTGGGCAAACCCTAGAGAGAGAAACCAATTCTTCTCCAAAAACCATCTCTCTTTTCTCTCTCCCCGCTGCTGTCTTCATATTTGCCCAAAAGCGATAAGTTCACGGACGCGTTGGCCAGTTCATGGTTGTGAACACCTAAAGCGTCTGTGAACTCAGTCGTCTCCAAAATGCACCGCCTTGCTTCCTGGGTTCACGGTCAATGGCCATAGTTCACGGTCTTAGAGACCGTGAACTGCCTTGTCGTCAGTAACTTCAGGAACCTCACTGGACGCCTCGTTGTTCACGGTTTGTGGTCGAAGTTCACGGTATTAGGAGACCATGAACTGCCTCGTCCGGCCATGAAATGTGGTTGTTTCCTGGGACGCCTTTACTTCACTGTTATGAGGCAACTTTTCTTTGGTTTTTGCACTTTTTGACCTCCAATTATCCCAAATTCGACCTGGACCCTTCCACACGTGCTAGGTTCTGAAATGTATCAAAACAAACACAACATAGCGTGAAATATGTCGAGGAACGATGAAATACTAAGCTAAACGAATAAGAAATGAGGGGTAAAATGTGTACATTTGGGTCCGATCACTGGTCCCTCTTGTTGAATGCAATGGTGGTCAATCCATGATCTCAAACATGGTTTAGAGAAATGAGAATAAAGAAGAAGGAAAGAAGAGGTCTCGAAGGTGGATCCTTAAGCTTAATCATGTCCATGAGCCTTCACGAATGTCACACCCATGGTTCAAAAAAGCACGCTTAACCTTACGCTTAAGCACGCCTAGGAGCAAGGCAATGGCAAAACGCCTCGCCTAGGGGTTCTGCGCCTAATTAGATACTGACACACGTCAATGGAGTAAGGTGATATATAAGTCTCTCCTAAACATTACTAGATGGAGCTAGAAAGTCAATATTAAAGGAGAAAATTAACGTCACTACAAAATCAATTTTCTGTATCAATATTTTCAATAGCTCAAGAACTTTGTGAGCTATTGAGCTATGATTCTATAAATTCGTAAACTATGTTCTTGTCATTAAGTGTTGAGTAAGTTATTAATCATTTTAAATGAAGTGAGGAAGTATTGTAGATTATTATTTCATTCATCATACAGTGCGAATAGCTATTTTTCTTCCAACGCCTAGGCACGCTTAGTCTACGCCTAGGCAAGCTAGGCGCTAAGCAAAGGCTCAATGCCCTCCTTACGCCTAGCACCCTTTTGAACCTTGGTCACACCTATTTTCTTGGGATGAACCAAAACTTAGGAGCAAGTGTCTAGCTAATGACGATAAAGAAGCTCTGGTTGGGAGGCACACAACGTCCATTTGTGTTCTTTTTCCTCTTTCTTTGTGAGTTTTCTTGATTTTTTTATATCAATAAACATCTCTTTTGGAATCCCTCTTTGGATTGGTTACCTCTCATCCACCCTGGCTCCGTCCAACATTATATACCATGCATCATGTAAATTTATTCCACCCTTTTCCCTATCTCGTCTCCATTGAGGGCAATGTCGTGCTAAAGTGTGGAGATGTTCAATTGTGAATGATTTTCATGGAATGGATGGAATAATGTTGAGTGCTTGGACCCTAGTCCACTTACTAAACTTTCAAAATTTTGAGGGCTCCAACCACGTGTTCATGATCATAGTGTAAACTTTTGAAATTTTGTTTTGCATTTTGTGTCCCATCAATGTTGATGCATGATTATTTTGATTGAGATTAATAACAACCTATGATGATGACTGACAATGTAGTAGAATTGTTTCTCGTGTCACTCTTTTTTTGGAGGCAAAATTAAATGAGAACTAGTTTGGTGAATCACCACCCCCGGTTGTTTAGACATGGAGATTGAGAAATTTGCAGGAGAGACTAAGCATCTAGTAACCTGTGCGAGATTTGTACATGTGTTCCTTTCATGTCTGATAGTTCCCTCTTTGCATGATGACTTAGCTTAACATTTTCATGAGATTGAATCATGAAGCCACTAATTAGTATGATGGAGGCATATGTATGCCCACGACCTAAATTGACTGCCTTTATCATGATATCCATTACTCAACCCTGTTTAGATGTAAACCATTTTATTTGTTACTATCACATTGTTTGAAGCCAATACGTGTTCTTTCAAGACCAATGTTTGAACCCTTTTTCAAGGCTCCACTTGG